CGCACTCACCAGAAGGTCGCGAAGTTTCCGCTGTCGGAAGCCGGCTGGGATGCCAGCCATGTGGGCTGCCTGGCGGAGTGCAAGAAGTTTCTCGGGCAGGCCGTGACGTTGGCTCACCCGAAGAGCGATAAGCTTGTGTGCGTCTTTGCAGACGCCAGTGACTTGCACTGGGGCGGCGTGGTTACGCAGATCCCGCCAGAGCAGGAGGATCGTGAGCTCGATGCTCAAGAGCATGAGCCTCTCATGTTTTTGAGCGGCACATTTTCTGGCGCCGCCCAACGATGGGCTATTGAGGTGAAGGAAGCGTTCTCGATTGGCCAAGCATAGCAGAAATTATTGATGCACAGCTGCGTGCGGTCGGCGAAGGCGCGGTTCCCGACATCGACTTGGTGGAAGGCCAGGAGGTTGTGGCTGGCGAGGGCCTGCCTGTGCTCAAAACGGCGTCTGGAGCAATCTGGATTTCCCTATCTGAAGGCGAACTCCAAATGCGACTTTGTGTTGTTGCACATTTTGGCATTGGTGGTCATCGTGGCGTAAATGCTACGAGACAAGTGCTGTCTGACCGATTTTGCTGGTCGAACATGGGCGTGGATGTGGCCTTTTTTGTTGACCGCTGTTTACACTGCGCGTCGACGGGCGGTCATGTGCTCCGTCCGTTTGGCATGGCACCATATGCCACAATGCCCAACGAAATCCTTCATTGGAATTTTCTTTACATGGACGATGGCTACCTGCTGGTAGCCAAGGACGACTTTTCCCAGTTCAAGTGGTTTTGGGAGACCGATGTCGCCAACGCACAAGTGATTGTCAATGGAAAGAATTGGCAAGCCTACAGAACGCTGTGGAAAAAATACGCGCAGATGTGTCGAAAGCATCATCCTCAAAGCGGAAGAAAGGACGAGCTGCAAGAGCGACGACAAAAGGCGTCAAAATGGCCGAATTCGACGTCGGGGATTATGTCCTCTGCATGGATGTTTGGGGCGTTAGCCCATCGAAGCTCACTGTGACTTTGTGACTTTGCGCGGTCCCGCGCAGGTGGTTAAAGCCACCTCTGGATGGGTTTTTGAAATCCAGAATTTGATCTCTGGGATCGTGCGCGAGGCTCACGCAAGCCGGCTCAAGTTTTACGCCGACGAGTCCCTCAATGTCGACGAAGAATTGTTGCGCCATGTGACTCACAATGCCGACGGGCATGTCGTGGACCAGTTAGTCGATTGTCGATACAATCCACGGACATCTGCCTTCGAAGTCTTGGTGCGATGGCGCGGCCTTCAGGACGTTGAGAATTCTTGGCAGCCGACGACCAACCTGCTGGAAGATGTACCTGCAGTCGTGAAACGGTACGTGCGCGAGCACGGTGCGCATGGCACAGTGGCGTCCATGGCCACGGCTCTTGGACTGGAGCGATCCTTGGGGGGGATTGTTGCGAATTGGACATTCGCAGGAGCCATGGAGTGCATCCAAGAAACAATCCAAGACTCCGTTCAAGTTAATCCTACATGTGCTATGATTGGCTAATTGTAGTGTAGCCATTAGGGGAGGGTTTAAGCCCTGGGGGGAGCAGCCCCCCGAGAGGGAATTCACTTTGTGATTTGCCCGTGACCACTGCGTTGTGGTTAGCCTTTTGTGTGCGCGAGACAGGACTTCACAAGGTCCGTCAGGTGGAGACTCAACACGCCATGATGACAGCGTTACACTTGGAAAGTATGCATGGACAAAACAAGATATGGATGCATTGTTTCGAGCACTTCATTGACGTGCTGACGGCGGCTAGCCGTGGGTT